GGGGGGAACGCTGGGTTTCCTCCCCAGTCTTTACAGAACTGATGTTACAGTTCTAGAGACTTTGGGGTTTAGGCAAGTAGTTGTTTTAAGATCAGAGTCAATGACATTGTGAAATGTAGAATGAACTAGAGAAGAAGGGTAAGAGAGCTCCAGAAGTAAAGATGATCTTTCACAATTGGTCTTGGGGTCGGTTTTATCTTGAGCTGGGTGAAAGGTAACTGCTTACTTGTGGGATGTGGGAGTAGGTTTGGTGCAAGTTGATCTCAGAGATTTGTGTTTGCCTTTTATCTGCTTTGGGTGTGTATATTGAACTGGGCAAATCAAACCATTAAAATTGTGAAGTAGTTATCAAAAACCGAACTACAGTTTTCTATATTTTTGGTTGTTATTTTTGCTTAGCAACAGCTTTTTACCCTGTGGCAACTTAAGATCTCTGTTTCTTCTCCCCTGTTGCTAAGGTGGTAGGGTGGGGTAGACAGGCAGAGTTATCAAGCATGTCCCTTCAGTTTCGCAGCCTGGTGATAACAGTTTGTTGTTAAAAGCTTTCCTTTGAATCGGAAATACCATGTAGTGAATTGGAAATACCATGTAGTGCGGTATGTTTTCTTTTTACTTAGTATGCAGTCCATTAGTATGTGCATTGCTCTTGACTTAACATGGATCAAAATAACTATCTTTCTTAGTGACCAATAATGCAAAACATCCTTCTCATAATGTTGATGAAATTCAGTATTGTTGAATTCCTTGTTTATTAATAAATAAAACAGTTTCTGTAATTAAACTTTTAACAACAGAATGCAGCCTTCTTCATGATATTGATATAACACCTTTTCAGTTGGTCCTGTGCATCACCTCGGAATATTAATATTTTTAATTTCAAGGGTCATCACTCATGTACACTACGTACCTCCCACACATAGAAAGTGCTTAAGTGGTCCATTTGTGAAAAACAGCAATATATATACACTAATGGCAATCAAATATTTGTTCTTATACTTAACAAAGTTTAATTTCTTTTCACACAGCAAGTGGTTAGTTGTGAAATATATGGAAGTAATCTGCTCTTTCATTATGACAAGTAATCATTACCAGTTGCTAAACTCTAAAGATATTTAGTTGCCTATGGATTTTTGGTGGGTTGGAATTTTGAGGGAAAGTGCTGACGTATTTTCATTTAGTTGTTGATCTCTGTCGTTCTTTCTAATATAGATAGAACTTTGATTTAAAGTGTAGTCTGTTCTGCAATTGCAATGAAAAAACGGACATGGGCACTTTGGATGTTAAACTTTTTTTTCCTCCTATTTAGATCACTTATTTCTCCAACCGTTGATATGAAATGAGATTTTATTGACATTGGTAATTAATACACTATTATGTAAAACTCCCATTCCAACATTGATAAAATAACAAAAACAAAATGTGTTTGTTTTTTTCTTGAATTTTGCTCATTCAATTAACAATAACCATCTGGAATATTTGCTGGCATAGCTAACGTTAAACACTAATTGATCTTATCAATGAGATCTTTACAACTTTGATACTGGCCCTATGAATTTTGACTTATAATGAGAAATTTGTATTTCCAGTGGCATAAAAATATAAAATACAGCAAATCAACTCTCTTACTGGCCATTATAATCTTCAAAAATGGTTTCCTTGTTTCTGGGTCTTCTGTAGTAAAATTATACTCAATATCAGATAAGTTAATGGGCATAAAAGGCATGAAGTGGCAAGAGAAGTGAGCTGTTTCTCAAAGTGTCAAATGCTGTAGAGTACATAACAAGATAGGTTATTTTGTGACATTCCAGTTTACTAACCCTATGTAACAGTTTTGAAACCAAGAATAAAGAAAAGGTAGTAGTAAATGTCATAAAATGAATGTCAATTGTGTGCTTTAGTATTAGCCTAAATAATGGTTTTAAAATGAATACTTTTTATAGATACAAAATCAAGTTTAAAAACTAGGAATTAATCACTTACTGAAATACAGAATTCATTGTAAAACAGGAAAAGGTAAGCTTTTATTGGTTTTATTATGTTATTAAATACAACTGGAAAGATAATCGGGTATGTTGCCATCATTATACAAGTATCCGATAAGTAAAAGTTAAGTTTTATATACACACACATATTCAATTCACAAGATAAAAAGTGGCTTGCAGTGATAAACATGCTTAATATTGTGATGTAATATTTTGCCAATATATATATATTTCATTGTTAGTAAGTCAGCTAAATACAGAGGTTTTCAACTGAAGCATATACTTTGACTATTGGGTAATGTGTTAATTAAATTTAGCAATTTATTTTTAAAAGACATTTTCTTGGTTAATTGATAAAATTTTCCTCAAAAGCCATCTTTTACTATATTTATCACCAAGTTGTAAAATGCTGAGGCTAAGGATTATGTGCTGATTGGGGCACTGAAAGCAATAAGTAATGAAGCTATTCAAAACAAGTCACGTGCCCAAGTGAGAGGTCTATTTTTACAGCAGTTATGTGTAAAACAGCAGTTATGGTTTTAACTGTGGCCTGGCAGTGCTAATAGGAGTTGAACACTTTCACTATTTTATGTAGTTTAATTATTACAGTGGATGTTAGGGAAAGACTTTAATTTGTGGAAACTCAAAATCACAGAATGGCTAATACTTTTAAAATACTCTTAGTTTGTATTTTATCAGAGCACATCACTAATAGTTTGTCTACTATTCAGTATAAATAGTGTTTATTATGTAAATAATATTTCACATAATAATTTAACTTATCTGAGGTAAATTAAAGGGAGGTAAAAACAAAAAACACTGATCAAAACTGTATATTAATTTTCATGTTGTTTGATATTTTACATATTTCTCATCTTTTATACTATTACAATTTATTGTATGTATTTATTATCATTTTACATTAAAAGTAATATTTATGTCCCATAATGTTTAAACATCTGCTCCATCTATTGTACAGAAAAGAAAAAAAATATGAAATAAAAATTCCCAAATTATTTATCTAAAAGTTTTTTCTTTTATACAACCAAAGAAGATTGAAAAAAATAGTGTTATCATGCAATAATTAAAAGGTTTATTTTATTGTTTGGACTCTGCAAGTTTGGAAATAGGCTGAGATAAATATTAAGCTTTTGCAGTTTGTAAGGTTTTATAAAAATTTAAAAATAAATTTATCTTTTTTTTTAGATGTCATTAAATTATCAATCATAAATGTAATATGTTATTTTTAGTTGAGTTAATTTAGCCACTTTTTTGTTATTGGGATGGTATAATTATCTCCTTTATGTAGTTTAGAAATATATACAATATATTACAACTATTTATTGATAATGAATATAATATTTAACTGATGATTACTGTATGATTATTATATAATAATTCTAAATTTTATTTAAAATAATTTGAATAGCCATTCTTCTTTGGTTTTAGCTGCAATTAAAATTATATATTTAGATCTTCTTTAAGCTGTACATTAAGATGGTAATTAGAACCAAGCAATATTTTAGAGCAAAACTACTCTATTCAGTATTATATATTTCTTCCTAATCATTTATGCAAATATAAGTAAATAAAAATGACTCCAAAACACTTGAATATATTGGAAAGATTGATAAAGAAGCGGTAAAATAGTTTAGCAACTAAATTGCAAACAGTATGAGTTGTAGAAATAATTCAAGAATACTCAGAATATGAAGAGGTTTTTGCATTATTTGAAATAAAACCTGGGATGAAAAATCTCAGAATTTTAAATCAGATATTTTCAGAATTGTTCAGAATGATTTTAGAAACATATGTTTGGCCTGTATTTTTTTACCACATTAAAAACCAACCAAACAAACAAAAACTAGGCACTCAAGTCACTTTTAAATTGTACAACCTTCTTATTTCTTTGTAATTCCAAATTGCTCTTTGTAAAATACGACTAATCGTGCTTGCCTCATAAGATGATGCATACGGTCCTGAGATCACACCTTGGATATGGAAAATATTGTGAGGTAGTATGTTGTTTTTAGTTAGATCCACATGTAAGCTACATGTGGTAGACTTGAAACTT